AGTTTCTCACCCTTAAGTTTCTCGCCCGCTAAATGTGAGAAATTCAGAGACAAACTGTTTTATGCTCCATATTTTACCATTTATACAGACAAAATCTTTTAACTTACATCATGAGTAAAGCTAAATTGAATGCAATAGACCATCATTGCATTACTGAGCTGTCTGACTTCTGCTTTGACATCTGTTTGCGAGCAGTGTCCACTTGACATTGACCACTATTTTTTTGAATCCACAGAAGAGATCCTCAGAGAATTTGTTAGTGATACATGGGAGGGCAGCCAAACTCATGATGTGGCCTAAGCCACTGCTATAACCCTGAACCAAGCTTGCCAGCTAGAGCCTAACATCAGATAGTTAATGTCTGCAACTGATCCATCTGAACTGCAGGAATCTCAGAGAAAAGATTTATTCATAGGTGAAATAATATGCTGGTGGGGCTGTCAGAAAACTGATCCATGAGTAGGGAGTAGGGAAAGCTCCAGACTAAGAACGGATTCTTGTACCACAAGACAACTGGCAACAGTTTGTTTTACCTGCTAGCTACAAGTCTCTGGTCTTCTGACATACCAAGACTTCATACCAAGATTTGGTTTCCCAGCCAAGCTGCATCACGACCAAGGTTGTGAATTTGAGAATGATCTCTGTCAGACACTGCAGCAGTTGAGTGAAGTGGGGCATTTGAGAACTACCCCATATCACCTTCGGGGTAACCCAGTAGAGTGCTTTAATTGCCCCATCCTGCGCATGTTGCGGACTCTGGTGAAGAAAGAGGAGGGACAGTGGGGGGAACACCTCCCCCACATTGTACATGCATATAATTGCACATGTCATGAAGCCACAGGGTATTCACCAATCTTCCAGCTGTTTGGCCAATACCCACACTTGCCCACTGATTTGTTACACAGACTGACAACTGAAGAAGAACCTAAAAGACTGAAAGGCTATGCTGAAAAATGGAAGAGGCTTACCATGTTGCCTGGAAGCATAGTAGATGGTCAGGAGCATGTGGAAAAAAATAATGAATATGACCAACACGTGAGAGGACTAACCCTACAACCAGGAGACAAGGTCCTTATATGGAATTTGAGTGAGAGGGGTGGCCCAGGCAAATCGAGGTCATACTGGGAACATAAAGTCTACCTCGTTAAAGAACAGATAAGTGTACAGTGTGGTCTCAGAGACTGATAGATCCAAATCACGTGCTCTGCACAAAAATCACTTACATGGTTTCGACCTACCTGCAGACATACCTCCCTCAGGAGGTAAAGCAGTTGTAATGCAATGTCAAAAGGGTCAAAAGCAGTCAAGCGTTGATAACTGTGTAGACCAGAGAAAGAATGACTTGAACAACACCCCACACACCACTGGCTGATATCCAGTGCAAGATGGGCCCAAGCAGGTGTTATAGCTACCTGTGGATCTGCTGGCAAGCCCACAGCAAGCCAAATTCCTGTTGAACCTCAGGCAAGGATGACCTACAGACACCCTGTTAGAGAGAAAGAGTACCTGTTGGAGAGAGAGAATCTATAAGGGTGAGACAAGTGAAGTTAGCAAGGAACATCAGCAGTCTACAGCAGCAAAGTGGAGGGGAGAGTTCAGGACCCAAAATGACCTTGAGGAAACAAGATTTGTCCAAAGGAGAAAACTTGATGTGTCCAGGAGTCATCCCCTTGCAAATGAGGCTGAAACTGAATTACCTTCTCCAGGACATCCTGTACATCCTGAACCTGTCCTGGCTCCCAGTAACCCTGCAAATCCAATTAGAAGTTCTGCTTGTGAGAACCAGCCAACCAGATATACACACCTCTGTAAACACTGTTTATATATTTCAGTCACCATACACTCCAGAGCTTGTGCAGCAACATTTGCTACAGCCTTACACTAATTCTACCCTACACGCCAATTTGTATTTATTAAAGAGGAAAGAAAAAAAGAATGGACAATGAATGAGGTTCGAATAAGAAAGGGTTAAATGTCAGAAGGTAATTTCTTTTTGTTGGGGAACATGTGGCATGTACCAAAAAATCACTTTTTTGTTTGAAACAACTTAGGTGAGAAAATATGTGTGGGGATAGTGAGATTTATTTTTCTTTTAACCAAAGTTTGAGGTTGTATATTCTAGTCTCACCAGTAGAGGGTGATAATGTTAGACAGGAGTCGGAGTTGCCCAGACAATCATGGTAGTTTGAATGTTTTGAAGCTTGAATGAACTTCATGTGATGTTTTTTCTAGTTCTTTTGTTATGAGACTGTTATATCTTGTATAAAATACACATGTGTACATGTAAAGATTTTATTTCAGTGATTAACAAAGGGAAGCAACCTCAGGTGACCTAAAAACAAAGCAAGTGCAGATGTGCTAGTATTTAGTGAACTAGTAATTCATGGAATTCAATTAATTATAATTCAAGTAATTATAAGCTGTTAATTTAACCAGATAATGCTCTCAGAGACCATATAGAAAATACTGTTCATTGATTTATTTATTTTAAGATGTTATTTTTGAAGGGATAAATGGCAGTAAGCTAGCTGATGGAAATAAGTAAATGCAGGAAAACAGCCAGAAGGAAAACAGCCAGCCTGCATGAAAGTCTCCTGCCTATATTTTCCCTGTTTTATGAAAGTATGTGTTTACAGAAACTTCACTCCTGAAGTGACCCATGACACATGCAGCTAAATGTTCATAGTGCCTCTAGTCATATGGGGTGTGTTGGTCAGGAAATTCATCTGGTTTTGTTCAATGCATACTGGCCCATTTGAAACCCATGACTCAGTACCTGGCCATATTATCGAAGATGACTCATAATGGCTGCAAAGCATGAGTCCTCAGAGTCATTTTAAGACAGAGGAAGAGAATCAGTCAGGTGGCTGTATGATGTGATATATGATATACACCGGTCACCCATAACATTAAAACCTTTCTTTCTATGCTCATTGTCCACTTTATCAGCTCCATTTACCATATAAGAGCCCTCTGTAGACAGACTGTAGTCCATCTGTTTCTCTGCATACTTTGTTAGCCCCCTTTTACTCTGCTCTTCAATGATCAGGACCCTCACAGGACGACCACAGAGCAGGTACTCAGCACTGCAGTGACACTGATGTGGTAGCGGTGTATTAGTGTGTTGGGCTCATACGAGTGGGTCAGACACTGTGTCCACTCAGTTTCCTCTCTATTACACACACCTACCTTGTTGGTCCACCTTGTAGATGTAAAGTCAGAGACAGTAGCTCATCTGTTGCTGCACAGTTTGGATTAATCATCCTGTAGTCCTTCATCAGAGGTCACACGACGCTGTTGGCTGGATATTTTTGGTTGGTGGACTATTCTCAGTCCAGCAGTGAAACTGAGGTGTTTAAAAACTCCAGCAGCACTACTGTGCCTGATCCACTCCGACCAGCGCAATACACACTAACACACCACCACCACGTCAGTGTTTCTGCCGTGCTGAGAATGATCCACCACTCAAATAGTACCTGCTCTGGGGTGGTCCTGTGGGGGGCTAACAAAGTATTCAGAGAAACAGATGGACCGCACTCTGTACTTGTAGAACCACAAAGGGCTCATATATGGTAAGTGGAGCTGATAAAATGGACAATGAGTATAAAACAAGGAGGTGGTTTTAATGGCTGATTGGTGTATATGTTCCTATTTCATTAATCATTATGTGGAGTCTACATTACAAATCACTACGAATAACTTTCCTGGGTAGCGCATGTGCTTCTAAACAGAGTGCCGTATTTGCAATTTAAAGTTTTCTGCGATAGGAAATTGCATGCAAAAAGCATAGTAGCATTATGTAAAAGACCCCAGATTTATGAATGAACTGCACAGGAATGATGAGGGGCACTAGACACCACAGGGGCACCACGGCACACTATTTTATTAAGGCAAGCTTCTCATTTTTTCTCTGCAGACTGTCACGAAATCTTCAATACTACATTGATAAAGCAGCAGTCTCTGAGTAGGCCAAACAGATTTTTTGCTTTTTTAGCGTTTTAACCTTGCACACTACAGACTTACTCACTTATTAAAGCCAACCAGAGTGGTTTGATGTGAAGCACGTCGCTCTAGAGAAACTTAGCAGGTCACAATCGTTTACAGAGACAGGAACTAAACTTTTGAAGAGTTTAATGCTTCTAAATGCTACCTCACAGGAAGTTATTCCAGGAAATAGTAATGTATGCACTGCCTGATGCCTGAGATACTGTTTTAGAATAGTTTTGAGACAAGGATTTAGCCTAAAATGTATTTTTAAACATCCTTCATGGTGGAGAGTTACATACAGGGCAAAGCAAGGCAAAATGGCACCCAAAGCATTGAAGTTCAATTTTATAGGAGAAGGAAAAACATTCTTAAGTTAGAGAAATGATTTATTCCACATAATTTTGGACCATTTAATTTGGTCCCTTCACCATGAAATTATGTCAAAAAATGAAAAACAACAATGGAGATATGAGGTTTTGTCCAGATGGCATCAATATAAAAACTCAGAAGACATATGTAGGTTCACTGGTCATTTTGGGTAGTAAATAAAATGACTGTGTTGTAGATGATGGGGACCCCTGGTTCCTATCACCAAAAACATCCTAGTACAGTTTCTCTATAATGAACCATTTCCCATCAAACCACTCTAAATGACTTCCTTTATATCTCAATGGTTGAACTATGCAGAAATTTTGAAATTTCGGTGGAATTCCCCTTTAACTTTAGCTATTAGAGTGAGGAACTGAATGCTGGCCAACATACAGGGCTTTACAGTTTAACTACAACAACACACACTGTAAAATAACACAGTAAAGGGACACAATTGTAAGAACAGTTCTGGGTCGTTATTACACAGTGCCTCCGATTCTATACTAAAATAATTCCAGGCAGCTTTTTCATGTCTTAACATGCTGAATATCCCATCATAACTGAACTTGATTTTTATTTTAATAGAACTATCCTAGCTCCTCCACAGCAAGTGTTACTGTAGGTTATTATAAGCCTGATCTTACCAGCCTCCATGTTGCAGGTGTCACAGGTCAGTTCAGGTTGAGCAGAATTTGGAGGCCAATCCTCTATCCCAGTGAAATGGCAGCGTCTGCTTCAAAACTCCTACTGAATTTGATCATTATACCAAAGACATGAGATGCTGCTAAGCCAAAGAGAAACTTTTCCATCAGCACAGAAAAAGTAGGCGGCTTTTGAAGTGACCATCACCCATTTGTTTAAATGCAAATAACCGGCAGGACGTTTTTCCAATATTTGCATCCATGTTCTAGATTAGAGAGGAGAGAGCACGAACAACAAGGCAGCATCACTGCTAAATCCTTCTCAGCTGCCTTAGCTACTCGTTGATGTTTTTCGTATTTATGCGCTTAGGCTTTCATAAAGTTTAACAAGTAAGCTCCAAAAAGGTCTTCTGCAGAAAACATAAACACAGAGGATCTTGGACAGGGTCAGCAGGTAAAGGGTAGCAGCTCAAACAGTCAACTGTTCTTCCTTATTTGTGTCGTATTTCTGGAGAAGTAAGGATAATAACTTATTTCATATACCATATTTCATATCTGGATTGTTCTGAAGGCATCCTCGTTCAGTTTGTTCAAGAGAAAATCTACTGATTTTTCAAAATGTCTGCATAATTCTGCATAATTGTTGTGTTGAAAATAAAGTCATTCAGAGTGGTTTGATGTGAGATGGTTCACTGTATAGAACCTTACATACTCTGATTTGTTTACAGTGGTGATGGGAACCAGGAGTCTTGATGTCTACAAGACTAATATAGCCATTTTATTTACTATCCAAAACCACAAGTGAACCTACACACAAGTTTTCTTTGGGAACTATTTTGCCATAACAACTCCCTCCGTGTACCATTCCATCATAAATAAACTGGAAAAATTGGCTAAAAGTGTATCTCAAAACTATCATAGGACAATGTCTCAGGCATCAGGAAGCATGTTGATAGCCATTTAATGTAACAGCTTTCTGTGAGGGAGCTTTCGGAGGCATTAAAGTCTTCAGACATCTGGTTCCTATCACCACCACTGTCTACAATTCTGACCTGGCTAGTTTCTCTCAAACAGAGCATCTCGCATCAAATCACTCTGAATTACTTTTTTGGCATCCTAACCATTTAATTATGAAGAAATTGTATTACAAATTGTGGAATTTCCCTTTAATGGAATCCTCTTTGCTAGCTTTTCAGCCATTGAAGGCAATGTTGTGGTTAAGCCATCTGAATTAAAAATTGCAGAATAATAATTTTACAAATGCCTCGACATGTCAGCAATCAAAGATCAGCACAAAAATGTACATAGTTATTCCTTTCAGAGGAAGTCTGTAGCATTTGCCAAAGTCCTGCAAAGTAACCTGAGGTGCATCCAAGGTTGATAGCATGGGCTCCAAAGCAGTTTCAAGGGGAATTCCACTGATTTTTCAAAATATCTGCACAATTCAGTGGTTGACATGTAAGCAAAGTCATTCAGAGTGGTTTGGTGTGAAATGGATCATTTATAGAGAAGTGGTACTGATAGGAACTAGGGGTCACCATGTCTACAGTGCACATATAACCAGACCAAAAACATTATCACAAAACTACCATAAAACAATGTCTATTTCATAGAGGAACCTCCTGTGATGTAGCTTTCAGAGGCATTAAACGCTTCAGTCGTCTGGTTTCTATCACCACTACTGAGAACAATTCTAACCCTGTAAGTTTCTCTAGAGCATTTCACACCAAACCACTCTGAATGACTTAGTTGATATGATAACTATTTAATTATGCAGAAATACTGAAAAATCGGTGGTTCCCCTTTTATATTTATTCTTGCAAATAAATGACTGCTCTACAAAGCACATGTTGTATCAGTAAAATAATGAGTGAATTGACACGTTTTGCATTGGATCTAAAACTGAAACGTACTGGTGTTTCCATGCTTAATGTAGCTTTTAGCCACTATGCTTCCTATATGAATGACATAAGATCTATAAGACAACAGTATGACACACAGCATTGAAAACTGTGGTTCAATCATTTACAGTTTGATAAACAATCAAACCTGCTGCTTAAACTGGATCATATAATAAGTCGAAATTGCAATGAAGAGAACCAAGTTTCAATCGTCATCATATGCAGCCATTCGACCTTCAGTCTGAAGTCCTTTAAGTCGTCTTTTATGTGAACTTTTCTTACCACCTGTGGAGACTTCAGAGTAAAAGCACCTTTTGCAGGTGAAAAGGACTCAAGCTCAGTAGTGTAAAAGTTCCTGCACTTTAACAATGCTGATACTGACCTCTAGTGGAGGACTGTAGGTTTGCACTTTTCACTGAACTCAGTGGACTGGCATTTTGCCATTTTTGCCATACTTTCTGTTTCAGCTCAGCATTGTGCAACTGCTAGGACAGGAGTTATCTCTCTGATAGTGGCTACGACTGGATGGCAACATTCTGCAAGTGCTGACAGTTACAAGATCCATGTCACTGCGCCTCATGAAGCATGCTTATACAGTCAAATGCAAAAGTTTGGGCACCCACGGTCAAATGATGTTCAGTTGATTGTGAAGTGAAAATAAGTAAACACTCTATAGAGTCCTCTATAGAGAACACACTTCTGCACATTTTACACTCAGTTACTGTTTATTCACTGAATTTAACGTATTAGAAAAAAATAAAACAGAAAATGTGGCCTGTGCAAAAGTCATGGCACATTTTATACTGTATGTTTTATTTTTTTTCCGATATCTTAAACTCAGCTAATAAATCGAATTTATTTTTTGTGCACTTTAGAGAAAAATGGCGTATTTTAGTGTGCAGAAATCTGGACCCAGCGTGATTTTCCAAGATCCTAGTTTCCAGTTATTTGCTGAAGGCAATAGAAGGAGGGAGGCAGGCTGACAGATACTTTACAGAGTAGGCAGTGACAGCATGAGAAAATAAACGGCATGGTTTCTTGGGAAATGACTCAGTGATAGGCCAAACAGTGAATTACAGCACGGTCTCCTCCTCTATCTCACTCTCTGAGTCTCTGCACTCATCTCCTTATCAACAGGGAACGGTCTGTGCACATTCCACTCCTCCATTTAGAATGGAGATATTCCTTCAGCAAAGCACGTCTGTCTGCATCTCATTACACTCTCTGCGTGTGTCCTCCTCGTCTGGACAGGGAGGGACTGTGTGTAAAAATGCCATCGGCTCAGTCCATGATGTAGTACAGTTGCATCGAAAAAGTCAGGGGTGCATAGTTTTACATATGGACTATTTTACTGAACTGATTCAAAGTCATTTCAGACTTCTAACTGACTTGGACTTTACACTAAAATCATTTTGCTTTGAGTGATTCTATACCTTAAATATGTTTATTTTATTAAAACAAATGACTGAACAATTCATTTTATCACTAACAAGACAATCACAACACCATCAAAACCGGATACCAGATGTTTCGGTAGTGACTGTTAGTCACTGTGAACGCTAGTCTGTACATGACTGAAAATAAACGTATGACAATATGCTGATCATTACGGTTAACAGACAATCTTTGGTATTCTTAACTAACTACAGCTGCAACTCCAGCCAACATGGGACCTCCTGAATACCAGGGGGTACTCTGTTCACTGAAAACAGGGACTGCATGATAACTGCAGTGATACAAATGAAACACATTTTTTCCACTGTATAATTTGATTCCTGAGCTCTTACAATAAATCAGTCAAAATATGCCAAAAATATAAGCCAAACAAATGCATAACTTAGTGTCTGTATCTCCTGGTGAACTCTGCTGGATAAGAGATCAAGAGGTTGAAGCTGTGTCACACTACATAGACACTCTAAAGGCAAAAGAAAGTGCAGTGCTTCAAGAAAACTTACTTTACTTTACTGAGAACCTGAGGCATGTGAGAAAGAAAGGTCACCTTTCAGCAGGACAGTGATCACAAGTACATGGCATTAATAACACCAGAGTTGCTAAAAAACAAAAAGGTACATGTTCAGTGACCCAGTCAATGTGCTGATCTCAGTCTCACTATCCACTGAACAATCTGCTGCAAATCAATCAAGACAAATGGGAAAAATATCACAAAGCTGGTAAAACAGTAAAATGCTGATTGGAAAAATCTGTGTTTAAATCCAGACACTGCTGATAACTTTCAAGGTGGATAAATTCTTTCACAAGACTCGGTGTCTAAAAGGTATGCCCTCTCTCCTCATTTGCTCTTGCGTGTGGAAAGTCCACTCATCATGGCCATCATTACGTCACTGAAAAGCTTCCTTGAGGGAATGGAGGGAGGAAGGAGGGGATTCTGAAAGCTGAATGAGGTGCAGGCCTGGGCCGCCTCCCCCAGCTCAGTCTGTCACTGTGTTACATAAGCACTGGATGAGGAGGTTCGCAGCCAGAGTAGTTTTTGCGCTCCTGCTTTTGCTCAAAATGTGACCATTTACGCTGATCCAGAATCAGCTCCCAGACTGTAGCCTGAACCTTGACAAGTAATTGTGAAAGGATGAATAACAGCTGGCTTGAGGCAGATGGACCAGTCAGCTCGTAATTAGAGTGCTTTATCACAGTGACTACCTCACAGCCCAGGCTCTAAAGACAGTGGTGGTTCTAGGAAGTGGTACCAGGGGTAGCAGGGAGTTTTGGTAGGTTGGCATGTCAGGGGGGGCTGTGCATGTTTGGCTCAGCAACTGTACATCTGATACCATATTCATTATTATTTCATTATTCATTATTATTATTTTCAATATTTTCAATATCTATCTATCTATCTATATATATATATATATATATATATATATATAGAGAGAGAGAGAGAGAGAGAGAGAGAGAGAGAGAGAGAGAGAGAGAGAGAGATAGATAGATAGATATTGAAAATATTGAAAATAATAATAATGAATAATGAAATAATAATGTATATATATATATATATATATATATATATATATATATATATATACACACACTACTATATATAGATCTATGTAGTACAGATTCGTACAGCAGTCTATCCATACAACTCCATGACTGTCCACTGTAAGGAGATAGGTGTAGGCTATATCACATGGCCAAGCAAAGCAATTTAATAAACTAGCCAAAAGCTGCAAACAGTTGCAATTCAAATCAAGACTAATCATGTCTTGAGATGAATTTAACTGTAGTGAAACACTGAATATTAAC